CAGGAAGCTGAGGCAGGAGAACTGCTTGAACCCGGGAGGCAGAGGTTGTAGTGAGCCGAGATCATGCCATTGCACTCCAGCCTGGGCAACCAGAGCAAAACTCCATCTCAAAAAAAAAAAAAAAAAAGATTTCCAGGCTCAAGGGATCCTCCCACGTCAGCCTCCCAAGTGGCTGGAAGTACAGGTGTGCACCACCACAGCTGGCTAGTTTTTTGAGTTTTTGTAGAGACAGAGTCTTGCCATGTTGCCCAGGCTAGTCTCAAACTCCTGGGCTCAAGCAACCCTCCTGCCTCAGCCTCCCAAAGCGTGAGTCACTGCGCCTGGCCCTGATTAGATAAGTGTCTTAACTTGGGCTGTCTTCATTCCATCCCTCCTGGGTACGTACTTTAGTTGTCCCCGTTCTACAGACGGGGAAGCTGAGGCTGGAGAGGTCAGGACTCGCCTGAGGTCCTACCGCCCCCCCTGGGACCTGGCTGGGGATAGGGGCGGGGCTGGGCCCTCAGGGTTGGAGACCCTGATCCCCCTGCTCCCCAACCCCCAGCTTCACGTGGAGTGACGCACGCCTGCACCGAGGCCTGGTGACCCTGCTGACCGGTGAAATTGTCGACGCCTTCAGCCTTGAGTTCCGGACGCTGTACGCGGCCTCCTGTCCGCTCCCACCTGCACCCCCCCAGGATCCCTCGGTCATGGGGGGCCTGCAGCGGGGCCGCAGCCCGCACCGCGTGTCCCGCCGTCGCTCCGTGGCCCCCGCGTCGCCTCCGCCACCTGACGGCCCGCTGGCCCACCGCCTGGCCGCCTGCCGCGTCTCCCCTGCCGCCCCGGGGCCCGCACTCAGCGACATCCTAAGGAGCGTGCAGCGCGCCCGGACCCCCAGCGGCCCTGCGACCCGGCCGAGCCGCTCCCTGTGGGACCTAAGCCGCCTGTCCGAGCTGTCTGGCTCCAGTGATGGGGACAACGAGGTGAGATTTTGTGACTGGTGCCAGAAGGGCATGGAGCCCAGGAAGGGGAAGGCATTTGCCCAGGCTGGTGCAAGCCAGGCTCCAGGGGCCCTGCTCCCAGCCATAGAGCAGGAAGCCTGAGGGCCTGTGCCGATAAATTCCTAATAGCATCGTTTGTTGACTTGCTGCATGCTGGGCAGGTGGGCACTGGGTGGCATGGGGCAGAGACAGGAGAGCACTGGGTGCAAATCCTGGCATGACACACTAGGTGGGGGGAAGCCGAGGACCTGACTTCTCTGAACCTCAGTATCCTCATCTAGGAACAGGCGGAGCAAGGGCACTCATTCTGAGTTTGGTTGAGGGAGGAATCCACATGGTTAAATAAAAATAGAGTAGTAATGATAACAGCAATACATTCCTGAAACAGGGAGTTCGAGACCAGCCTGGCCAGCATGGTGAAACCCTGTCTCTACTAAAAACAAAAAATTTAGCTGGGTGTGGTGGTGCACACCTGTAGTCCCAGCTTTCGGGAGGCTTAGGCAGGAGAACTGTTTGAGCCAGGGAGGTGGTGGTTGCAGTGAGCTGAGATCGTTCCACTGTACTCTAGCCTGGGCGACAGAGCGAGACTGTCTCAAAAAATAAATAATAATAAACAATAAATAACTTCCTGAAGTGGAATTTATTTATTTTGTGATATCCTCATCCCAGGCCAGGAAGGCTGGGAGATAGATATATTTGAGACAGGGTCTTGCTCTGCAGTGTCCTGGGAATCAGGAATCATCTCCTTCCGTCCCAGGCAAGGAAGGCTCCTAGCTGGAGAGCAGATGGGGGATGGGCAGGGGCAAGGTCCTCACCTTCACCTGGTCCTGAGCACCCTCACCCAGCATCCCCTCCCTTGGCAAATATTTGCTCCCGGCTGGCAGATGCCAGCGCTTCTGGTTCCTCCCCAGCTGCAGAGGTGGGGACCCAGTTCCTTGCCCCTCTGTAGGTTAGGGGGTCCCAGGCTTGCCCTCTCACTTTCCCCCTTCCCTCTCGGGCTCCCCACAGCGTCCTCCTTGCCTGCCTCCTCCTCTGCATCCCTCTCCTGCTGTCTCTCCTCCTGCTGCTTCTTGCTCATGTCGTCCTTCACCTTTCACCCCCTCTGTCTACTCTCTCTCCTTCCTGGCTCCCCTCCTCCCTCCTCTCCTTCTTTCTCCTCCCTCACCTTCTCCCTTACCCCTTCCTCTTCTTTTACCTCCCTACCTTTTTTTTTTTTTCCTGAAACAGGGTCTCGCTCTGTCTCCCAGGCTGGAGTACAGTGGCGTGATCTCAGCTCACTGCAGCCTCAACCTCCTTGGCTCAAGCGATCCTCCCACCTCAGCCTTCCAAGTAGCTAGGATTACAGACCCATGCCACCACGCCTGGCTAATCTGTGTGTGTGTGTGTGTGTATGTGTGTGTGTGTTTTGAGACAGAGTTTCACTCTTGTTGCCCAGGCTGGAGTGCAATGGTGTGATCTCAGCTCACCACAACCTCTGCCTCCCAGGTTCAAGGATCCTCCTGTCTCAGCATCCTGAGTAGTTGGGATTACAGGCATGCACCACCACACCTGGCTAACCTTGTATTTTTAGTATAGGTGGGGTTTCTCCATGTTGGTCAGGCTGGTCTTGAACTCCTGACCTCAGGTGATCTGCCCACCTCAGCCTCCCAAAGTGCTGGGATTACAGGCATGAACCGTGTCCAGCCTCCATCTCTCTCCTCCCTCACTCCTCTCTTCCCTCCCTTCCCTCCTCCATCATCTCCTTCCACTTCCCTCAAATCCTTTATCACCTTTTTCTTTTTCTTTTTTTTTTTTTTTTTGAGATTGAGTTTTGTTCTGTCGCCCAGGCTGGAGTACGGTGGCGCTATCTCAGCTCGCTGCAGTCTCTGCCTTCTGGGTTCAAGCAATTCTCCTGTCTCAGCCTCCTGAGTAGCTGGGATTACAGGCACCCACCACCACGTCAGGCTAATTTTTGTATTTTTAGTAGAGACGGGGTTTCACCATGTTGGCCAGCTGGTCTTGAACTCCTGACCTCAAGTGATCCTCCCACCTTGGCCTCCCAAAGTGCTGGGATTACAGGTGTGAGCCACCATGCCTGGCCGTCTATCACTTTCACTGCTTCTCTCTTGCCTCACTTCCTGCCTTCTCTGGCTCTCCCCCAGGGCCCCACCTCAGCCTCCTCTCACCTCCTTCTCTTTCCTTCCACAGCTCAAGAAGTCCTGGGGTTCCAAGGACACCCCAGCCAAGGCTCTGATGAGGCAGCGGGGCACTGGAGGAGGCCCCCGCGGGGAGGTGGACTCCCGACCTCCCTGGGGCGGTGCCCTGCCCCTGTCCCCTGCCCACCGCCTCCGCTATCTGTCCCCAGCCCGAAGGCGGTTCGCTGGGGATGCTACATTCAAACTTCAAGAGCCCAGAGGCGTCAGGCCGTCAGACTGGGCCCCACGGGCAGGACTTGGGGGACAACCCTGAACAGGAGACCAAGCCAAATCTGCTGGCCCACCCAAGGAGCAGTGCCGGACAACTGTCAGCTCAGAGCCCCCTGCCTCCATACCCTGCCTTGGATAAGGCTTCTGGCCTCAGCGTCTGTAAAGCAGAAGGGATGTTTTTCACTTGTTCTGCAACTTGGGGCCAGGAGTGGTGGCTCATGCCTGTAATCTCTGCACTTTGGGAGGCTAAGGTGGGAGGGTTGCTTGAGGCCAGGAGTTGGAGACCAGCCTGGGCAACATAGTGAGACCCCATCTCCACAATAAATAAAACAAATTAGTTGGGTGTGGTGGCGCACACCTGTGGTCCCAGCTACTCTGGAGGCTGAGGTGAGAGGATCGCTTGAGCTCTGGAGGTGGAGGCAGCAGTGAGCCAAGATCACGCCATTGCACTCCAGCCTGGGCAACACAGCGAGAGGCCATCTCTTTAAAAAAAAAAAAAAAAGGAAAAAGAAAGGCTGAGCAAGGTGGCTCACTCCTGTAATCCCAGCACTTTGGGAGGCCAAGGCAGGTGGATCACCTGAAGTCAGGAGTTCGAGACCAGCCTGGCCAACATGGTGAAACCCATCTCTACTAAATACAAAAATTAGCTGGGTGTGGTGGTGGGTGCCTGTAATCCCGGCTACTTACGAGGCTGAGACGGAAAAATTGCTTGAACCCAGGAGGCGGAGCTTGCAGTGAGCCGAGATCACGCCACTGCACTCCAGCCTGGGTGACAGAGCGAGACTCCATCTTAAAAAAAAAAAAAAAGAAAATGGACTTTGGCAAGGCCGTTGCCTGCACCGGACCTCAGTGTCACAGCCGAGAAAATGGGCCGGCAGTGTCCCTCTCTGCGGATCCTAAAGAACGCACACGCAGTTCCTGAGGATCAGGCCTTCCTGATGAGGGGTACGGCTGAGGCCCTGAGCTGGAACTGTGGAGGGGAAGATGGGGAGTCGCTGCCATGCACACTGTGCTCAGGAGCTGTGGGGAAACTGAGGCATGGAGCTGAATACTGAGGGACTGGAATGTGGTACAGCCACAGCCACAGGCGAACGGGGTGGGTGGCGGGACTTTCAGTGGGCGCTGACAGGGTGGGTCTGCCGGAGCTCCCCTTTACATCTGCTCGGAATAAAACCACTTCATGCCAAAAACATTCGTTACCACAGCCTGGCTCTGCATCCAAGAGTCCATAACCCAGCCCCCTCCCCCCTCAGACCCAGGGATCCAGGTCCCCAGCTCCTCCTCCCTCAGACCTGAGACTCCAGGCCCCCAGCCCCTCCTCCCTCAGACCCAGGAGTCCAGGCCCCCAGTCCCCTTCTACCTCACACCCAGGAGTCCAGACCCCCAGCCCCTCCTCCCTCACACCCAGGAGTCCAGGCCCCCAGTCCCCTTCTACCTCAGACTGGGGATCAGGCCCCCACCCCGGGAAAGTGAGATGCCCAGCGCTGGGTTCCTGCAGCACCTTTGCCTCTGGGCAGGACTCTGAGTCGGGAAACCTGGCCTCTGGAAGCCTTGGCGTGGTGAGGACTCTCCACGCCCCGCTGCATGCCCTCCCACAGCGCATCAAGGAACCTGGGCGGAAGCGACGTGTTTATTCTCAGGGTCGTGGGTGCGGGGGCTCAGAGGCCTGGCCAGGGTTGGGGCTGGGGCTGGAATTGGGTCTAGTTTCAGGCTCCAGGCTGTTGATCTCAAGGCTGGGCTTGGGCTCAGGATTGGGGCTGGGCTCAGGGTCCGGGCTGGCGTCCTCCTCCGGGTCTTCATCCCAGGGGAAGGTCGGCATCCCCCGCATCTGCTTGCGGTAGACACGATCGAAGGCTTCGCTCTGGGCCACCGTGAAGTGGTTCTTCCAGTCGCCGCAGACCCCTGGAGGGGAGGGCGCGCCAGGGGGTGAGGAGCCTCTGGGGAGCACCATGCCCCTACCTCCAACATTCCAGCACCTTCTTTACCCCTCCCGGCCTTTGGCGAGGTGTTCCCTTTGCCAGAAACACCGTCCTCCCCACCCTCCACATTGACCCCTTTGTGTCCTATGGTGGCAGAGTCTTGGCCTGTCACCTGGCACCGTTCACACCTCCGCCCTCACTGCCTCTGCTACTGCAGGCTCCCTGTGAGTCCTCCCCTTTTTCCCGGACCCTTTAATTCTGGGCCTAGAACCTCTATCTCCAACCCCGAATTCCTGCCCACCTTACAGCTTGTGTCACCTCCTCTGCGACCAGTCCCAAACCTCCCCTGCTAGAATAAGTCCTGTCTCAATGCCCCCACGACATTCCGTGCTGCAGCCATTACTGCTGGGACATGGAAGGGACCCCCTTCTGCAGGCACTGTGCTCAGGGCTGGCAACCAATTTGCTGACTGGCGCAGCAAGCAAGCCTCAGGAACCCTCCAACCCTCAGTTTTCTATTTTTTTTTTTCTTTTTGAGATGGAGTCTCCCTCTGTCGCCCAGGCTGGAGTAGAGTGGTATGATCACGACTCACTGCAACCTCCTATTCAAGCGATTCTCCTGCCTCAGCCTCCCAAGTAACTGGGATTACAGGTGTGCACCACCACACCCAGCTAATTTTTATATTTTTAGTAGAGATGGCGTTTAACCATGTTTCCCAGGCTGGTCTCAAACTCCTGACCTCAGGTGATCCACCCGCCTCGGCCTCCCAAAGCGCTGGGATTACAGGCATGAACCACTGCACCCAGTCCAAGCCTCAGTTTTCTCACTGTGGGGCTACCACCAGGGCATCACCCCTCACCTGGAAACCTGGGGCTGATAGAATTCAGGGATTCTGCTGTGGCAGCAGAATCGCTTGAATCTGGGAGGCGGAGGTTGCGGTGAGCCGAGATCACACCACTGCGCTCCAGCCTGGGTGACAGAGACTCTGTCTCAAAAAAAAAAAAAAAAAGAAGAAGATGCTTCTCTGGTGGCTTGGCAGATGGAGGAAGAGGCCATGAGCCTCGGAATGCAGGTGGGTCAACAACTGAGAAGGTGAGGCAAGAGATTCTCCCCTAGAGCCTTCAGAAGAAATATGTCCTTTTAAACACCTTGATCTGCCCAGGGAGACAGACCTCAGCCCAACTCCTGACCTCCAGAAATGTTAAGAAAGTACATGCAGCCGGGCGCGGTGGCTCACACCTGTAATCTCAGCACTTTGGGAGGCTGAGGCAGAAGGATTGCTTGAGCCCAGGACTTTGAGACCAGCCTGGGCAATAGAGCAAGACTCCTGTCCTATTATTAAAAACATATTTTTAAAAAACAGGGGCCAGGCACCGTGGCTCACACCTGTAATCCCAGCACTTTGGGAAGCCGAGGCGGGCAGATCACTCGAGGTCAGGAGTTCAAGAGCAGCCTGGCCAACATGGTGAAAACCCGTCCCCACTAAAAATACAAAAATTAGCCAGGTGTGGTGGCGCATGCCTATAATCCCAGCTGCTCAGGAGGCTGAGGCAGGAGAATCGCTTGAACTGGGGAGGTGGAGGTTGCAGTGAGCTGAGATTGAGCCACTGCACTCCAGCCTTGGGGACAGAGCAAGACTCCATCTCAAAAAAAAAAAAAAGAAAAGAAAAAAAAAAAGCCGGGCGCGGTGGCTCACACTTGTAATTCCAGCACACTGGGAGGCTGAGACAGGTGGATCACAAGGTCAGGAAATTGAGACCATCCTGACCAACATGGTGAAACCCCGTCTCTACTAAAAATATAAAAATTAACCAGATGTGGTTTCGGATGCCTGTAATCCCAGCTACTCAAGGAGGCTAAGGAAGGAGAATCGCTTGAACCCGGGAGGCAGAGGTCTCAGTGAGCCGAGATCGCGCCACTGCAACCTCCAGCCCACCTGGGCAACAGAGCGAGACTCCGTGTCAAAAAAAAAAAAAAAAAAACCTAAACGTGTGTCGTTTTGAGCCATGGAGTTTGCGGTGTTCGTTACAGCAGGAAGAGGAAACAACTGCGCTGCCGCCTGCACCTCATAACCCAAAGTTTGAGTATTTCTGCCGTGAACATGGCCGTGGAGGAGGATTCGTGAAGATTCTAGATCTCCTCTCTAGGGTAGACCTGGCGTTGGCAGTACTCCTGGATGTTTTGCTCTCGTTGGGAGTTCTCTGGGTGGGGACGCCTCGGGTGGCTGGCACGTGTGCCAAGCCAGTGCTGAGCCCTGTGTGTGATGAACCCTGGGGCCACAGTGACCCTGTTCACCCAATGTTACAGCTGGGTGAGAAACTGAGGCCCAGAAAGGTTAAATAACTCTCCCAGGTCACACAGCCAGGCAGTGGCCTAGTGGGCTCCGAACCCCAAAGCCCCCGCACCTTTCCGGAGGAAGGCCCCGCGACGGTGGTCCAGCAGGCTGGGAGGCAGCAGTGTGTAGTTGGACATGGTGTTGGCCTTCATGGCGCCGAAGGTCGAGTGTGCCACGACGGAGCCCAGTGCCTCCTTGCCCAGCGGGCGGCCCAGGAACCCGCAGATGCGCTGCACGGAGCCCTGTAAGTCCTGCAGGCAGGGGAGACTGGTCAGTGGAGGGAGGGCACTCGGCCAATGAAGGAGCATGGAACCTGGGGTCTGCACGTCTGGGTCCTACCCCAGGGCTGCCTGAGGGACGCTGCCTCTTTGCCTCAGTTTCCCCAGCTCCAAGCTGAGGGGTTGGGCTATGTTGCCTCTAAGGGTTTTTGCAGTTTCTGTCTTTGGACGGTTCTCTAGGTGGGAGGGAATAGGTGGGCTTGGGGCAGAGGTCACAGCAGGGTCAGAGGTCAGAGCATCACCTTACCCAGAATCACCTTCCTTCGGGTTAGAGACAGGCATTGACTGGTCTACATCTCAAACCTGCTCCTCCCCCAGGCTCCCAGTGCAGGATCCCATCCACCCAGGAGCCTGGCCTCCCTCTCTGGGTACCCCTCACCCCCAAACTCTGTCCTGTCATCAGACCTGTCTCTTCCCACCTGCCTCCCCTTGCCATGTCCCCTCCTCTGTGCCCCTGTAGCCTAGCACTGCTCAGGCCTCATCCTCTCCTTCCTGGACCCATGCCCCAGCCTGCTGCTCCATAACCTCCCTGCCTCCAGTCTTCATCCCCCTCCAGCTCATCCCCCACACCCAAACTGACCCTGCTCCTCACTGGCTCCCAACTCTTCTGTGGCTCCCGAGTGCCCTGGGACAGAGTCCCAGACCCAGACCCAGACCCAGACCCAGCTTTCAAGCACAGATGTGAGGCGGGTGCAGTGGCTCACGCCTGTAATCCCAGCACTTTGGGAGGCTGAGACGGGCGGATCACTTGAGGTTGGGAGTTGGAGACCAGTCTGGCCAACATGGTGAAACCCTGTCTTTACTAACAATACAAAAGTTAGCCGGGCATGGTGGCGGGCACCTGTAATCCAGGTGCTTGGGAGGCTGAGGCAGGAGAATCATTTGAACTGGGAGATAGAGGTTGCAGTGAGCCGAGATCTCACCACTGTACTCCAGCCTGGGTGGCAGAGTGAGACTCCATCTCAAAAAAAAAAAAAAAAAAAAAAAAAAAGAACAGATGTGGTCTGGTTTCAGCTCTTCCAATACCTTTCCCACCCTCTCCTTCTGAGACTCACCATTTCCTACACATTTCCTCCCTCCAGGCCTTGGCACGGGGCTTCCAGAAGGGTCATTGCCATGGCTGCAGCTCAAATATCACCTTCCTTACTGAGTGTCTACTATGTACCAAGCTCTGATCCAAGCCCCCCATACATTTGTGCCGATACCACCATCAGCTTTGCGGGGGAAATGTCATTATCTCAATTGGTAAATAGAGGCCCAGAGAGGGAGAGACACTTGTCCAAGGTCACAGAGCCAGAGAGGAGCTCAGGTTCCTGGAGCCCTTAATCCTCCCCTTTGCCCCTCTGCTTTTTTTTTTAGACGGAGTTTCACCCTTTTTGCCCAGGCTGGAGTGCAATGGTGCAATCTTGGCTCACCACAACCTCTGCCTCCTGAGTTCAAGCGATTATCCTGCCTCAGCTTCCTGAGTAGCTGGGATTACAGGCATGTGCCACCACGCCTGGCTAATTTTGTATTTTTAGTAGAGACAGGGTTTCTCCATGTTGGTCAGGCTAGTCTCGAACTCCCAAGCTCAGGTGATCCGCCAACCTCGGCCTCCCATAGTGCTGGGATTACAATGAGACTGAGTCTCGCTCTGTCGCCCAGGCTGGAGTGCAGTGGTGCTATCTCAGCTCACTGCAACCTCCACTTCCTGGGTTCCAGTGATTCTCCTGCCTCAGCCTCCAAAGTAGCTGGGTTTATAGGCATGTGCCACCACGCCTGGCTAATTTTTGTATTTTTAGTAGAGACAGGGTTTCACCACGTTGGCCAGGCTGATCTCAAACTCCTGACCTCAAGTGATCCAGCTGCCTCGGCCTCCCAAAGTGCTGGGATTACAGGCGTGAGCCACCGTGCCCGGCCATCGCTGCCTTTTGATACGTAGCGCCCAGCACGGTCAGCCCTCTGGTCAGCTCCGCCAACCCCATGGCTCCTATTTTCCAGGTCATTCCTGGTTTCATAACCTTCCATCTCTTTATCTTCTTGAACCACTGACGTGTCCCAGAAATTTTAACATGTGGGCGGCGCCTCACACCCAGGGGCAGCCCAGAAGCTGTTAGGCTCTGTGGCCCAGTTCTGGGTTTGGAGAAGAAAGCTTGCTGGAAAAGAGGGGGAGGAGTAGTACCAACACCTTTTCTGGAGCTTTCCATTAAAAGAAAGTTACCAGAGTGGAAAAAAATAACCGTGGAGTCTGCAGGCAAGAGCCATATGCCTTGGGCAAGTTATCAACCCTCTCTGAAATTACAAACCTCCAGTTTCCTCATCGATAAAATAGGGATAATAACAACATTTGGGAAAACCGTATAAAATTACTTTTTTTTTTTTTTCTGGAGACAGAGTCTTGCTCTATAACCCAGCTAGAGTGCAATGGTGCGATCTTGGCTCACTGCAACCTCTAACTCCCAGGTTCAAGCGATTCTCCTGCCTCAGCCTCCCGAGTAGCTGGAACTACAGGCGCCTGCACCATGGCCGGCTAATTTTTTTGTATTTTTAGTAGAGATAGGGTTTCACCATGTTGGCCAGGCTGGTCTGGAACTCCTGAGCTCAGGTGATCTGCCCACCTTGGCCTCCCAAAGTGCTGGGATTACAGGCGTGAGCCACCATGTCCAGCCAAAATTACCATCTTAAGATAAACACTGGTTGGCAGGTCAACAAGAGCGAAACTCTGTCTCAAAACTAAATAAATTAATTTAATTAAATAAATACAAATAAATAAAGACTGGTTGAATACAGGCATTTCATGTGGTTCAATCTTTTTTCTTTCTATTTTTTGGAACAAGGTCTTGCTCTGTCACCCAGGCTGGAGTGCAGTGGTGCGATCTCCGCTCACCGCAACCTCCGTCTTCTGGGTTCAAGTCATTCTCCTGCCTCAGCCTCCTGAGTAGCTGGGACTACAGGCATGTGCCACTGTGCCCAGCTAATTTTTGTATTTTTAGTAGAGATGTGGTTTCACCATGTTGGCCAGGCTGGTCTCGAACTCCTAACCTCAAGTGATCTACCTGCCTTGGGCTCCCAAAGTGCTGGGATTATAGGTGTGAGCTACCACACCTGGCCCTCTCTCTCTCTTTTGAGACAGGGTTTTGAGGTGTTGCCCAGGCTGTACAGTGGCATCATCATAGCTCATGGTGGCCTCAACCTCTTGGGCTCAAGGGGTCCGCCCGCCTCAGGTTGTCCAAGCATTGGGATTACAGGTGTGAGCCACTGCATCCGGCCAACCCTCCTGTGTTAAATCTCGCCCCTGCCCATTCCTTGTCTTCCTTCCCACTTGCCTTTGCTCCTTAGCTCCTCTGCCCCGCTAGCCCGCTGTGTGATTTAGGGATTTTGTCTGTGGTCCTTGCTCACAGGCTCAGGGCCTCTGTTCTGTTCCTGCAGTATCCCCAGAGGCTGGCGCATTGCATGGGGAAGCGGAGGGGTCCTGAGACCCTCGGGAAGGGGAGAGAGTGGGGTGTGAGCAGAGGGCATCAGGCGGGGGATGCTGCACCTGGCGGAGGTGGGGACTCACCTGTTGCAGCTCCTCGTAGGTGATAAATAGGAAGTTGTCTTTGCCCTGCATCCGAAGCCAGCCCTTAATGTGGTCGAACCAGGAGCCAAACTGCACTGTGGGCAGAGGGATAAGTTGGGTGAGGGCCAAGTGACAGGGTCCCCCCAGCCCCACTGGGGCTCATGTGTCTAACTAGCTATGCCCCACAAACCCCCAGGTCCAGCCCTCAGAGCCCCCACATCTCCACCAAGTTCGGGGGCTCTTCCAACCTGCTTCTCCCCTGGTTGCCCATCTTGGGGTGCTCTTGTCTATCTGTCCATCCAGTCCCCCTCTGCACACCTGGATTTCCCTCCAAAGCCAGGGTCTCTGACAGCAGCAGATAAAGGAACACGTGGCCAAAGGGCGCTGCCTTTCTTAGTACCTGGGGCCTGTGTCCTCCTGTTTCCTTGTCTCTCCTTGTCTCTCTCTGACTCTGTCTCTCTTTCTGCATTTATTTCCTTACCTCTTTTTATTTTTTAATTTTTATTTATTTATATATTTATTTTGAGATGGAGTCTCGCTTTGTCGCCCAGGCTGGAGTGCAGTGGCACCATCTAGGTTCACTGCAAGCTCCGCCTCCCGGGTTTGCGCCATTCTCCTACCTCAGCCTCCCAAGTAGCTGGGACTACAGGTGCCTGCCACACCCGGCTAATTTTTTGTATTTTTAGTAGAGATGGTTTCACCGTGTTAGCCAGGATGGTCTCGATCTCCTGACCTTGTGATCCGCCCACCTTGGCATCCCAAAGTGCTGGGATTACAGGCGTGAGCCACTGTGCCCAGCCTATTTTTTATTTTTTACTTATTTATTAATTTAATTTTTCTGAGACAGGGTCTCACTCTGTTGCCCAGGCTGGAGTGCAAGAGCGTGCAATAGCGCGATCTCTGCTCACTGCCACCTCCCCCATGGGCTCAAGTGATCCTCCCACCTCAGCCTCCTGAGTAGCTGGAATTACAGGCGTATGCCACAATACTTGGCTAATTTTTGTATTTTTAATAGAAATGGGGTTTCACCACATTGGCCAGGCTGGTCTTGAACTCCTGAGTGCAAGTGATCTGCCTGCCTTGGTCTGCCAAAGTGCGGCATTACAGGCGTGAGCCACTGTGCTGGGCCCCTGTCTCTTTTTTGTTGCCCTCTCTCTCCGTCTTTCTGTATCTGAGTGTCTTTCTGTCTCTGTCTCCTCTGTCCCTTGCTTGTCCTGCATCTCTCGGTCTCTCAGTCTCTCTCCCTCCGTCTCTTCTTCTCTTGGTTGCCTGGTCTCTGTCTCCATTGCTCCTTTTGATGCCCTGTGTCTCTGCCTCTCTCCCTTTCTTCCCCCTCCTCTGTCCCTCCTCTGCCCATCAGGGTCCTCTGGGGCTCCTCCCCACCCCTCCTGCCTGGCTTTGCCCTGTCCTCACCTTCGCCTTTGAGGAAGTCCCTCAGGAACTGGTCGGGCGTGCCCGGATCCTTTAACTGCCCGGCAATCTTGGAGTAATGATAGAGGGAGACCACGACGTCCCGGGGGTTGCGGCCCATGTAGATCACCTGCGTGCGGATGATGAGGAGAGGGGAGAAGGCGTCAGACGCAGGCAGGACCCCAGCCCCTGAGGTCTCCTGCCCTGGAGACCCCTCTCTTCTGAAGCAGGAAGGACTCAGGGCAGAATTTTTTTTTTTTTTTGAGATGAAGTTTTGCTCTGTTGCCCAGGCTGGAGTGCAGTGGCACGATCTGGGCTCATTGCAAGCTCCGCCTCCTGGGTTCAGGCCATTCTCCTGCCTCAGCCTCCCAAATAGCTGGGAATACAGGTACCCGCCACCACGCCCAGCTAATTTTTTGTATTTTTAGGAGAGACGGGGTTTCACTGTGTTAGCCAGGATGGTCTCAATCTCCTGACCTGGTGATCTGCCCGTCTCGGCCTCCCAAAGTGCTGGGATTACAGGCGTGACCCACCGCACCCGGCCTTTTTTTTTTTTTTTTTTTTTTTGAGATGGAGTCTGACTCTGTTTTGCCCAGGCTGGAGTGCAGTAGTGCTATCTCAGCTCATTGCAACCTCTGGCTCCTGGGTTCAGGCGATTCTCCTGCCTCAGCCTCCTGAGTAGCTGGGATTACAGGAGCGTACCACCACGCCCGGATAATTTTTGTATTTTTAATAGAGATGGGCTTTTACCATGCTGGTTACTCACAGGGTGAGGAACCCCTTGAGGTCAGGCGGGGTCTTACTCGTTCCTAGAGCCTTAACCCAGAGCCCCACACACAAGAGGCTGTGGAAATTGCTTGAGGGGATGACGAAGGCATAAAGGGAAGGAGTCTGAGAAAGAACACTTGGCCAGCCGCGGTGGCTCACGTCTGTAATCCCAGCACTTTGGGAGGCCGAGGCAGGAGGATCACTTGATCCCAGGAGTTCGAGATCAGCTTGGACAACATAACGAGACCCCCATTCTACAAAGAATACAAAAATTAGCTGAGTGTGGTGGTGCGTGCCCGTGGTCCCAGCTACTCGGGAGGGTAAGGCAGGAGGATCACTCGAGCCCAGGAGGTCGAGGCTGCAGTGAGCTGTGATCATGCCACTGCATTCCAGCCTACGTGACAGAACAAGACCCTGCCTCAAAAACAAACAAACCAAAAACAAAACAAAACAAAACACCCCCAGATCCACCAAAAATTAAATGAAAACAGACTTAGAGAAACGTGGCTTCTGGTGTGAGGCCTTGTAATGATGTTGGGGCTCTCCAGGGCTCCCTTCTGATTCCTGTGCTATAGAGGATTCCTTTCTGCCCAGAGAAAGGCCTGGTCCTTGGCCCTAGGTCCCGAGATACTTCCTAATGCCTTGGAATTTTTTGTTTGTTTGTTTAGATGGAGTCTCGCTTTGTCTCCCAGGCTGGAGTGCAGTGGCACGATCTCAGCTCACTGCAACCTCTGCCTCCCAGGTTCAAGTGATTCTCCTGCCTCAACCTCCCAAGTAGCTGGGACTACAGGTGGGTGCCACCATGCCTGGCCAATTTTTGTATTTTTAGTAGAGACGGGTTTTCGCCATGTTGGCTAGGCTGGTCTTGAACTCCTGACCTCAAGTGATCCATCCGCCTCGGCCTCCCAAAGTGCTGGGATTACAGGCATGAGCCACTGTGCCCAGCCTAGTCTTATTTTTTAGAAACAAGGTCTTGTCAGCCAGGCGCTGTGGGTGGGCATGGTGGTGGGTGCCTGTAATCCCAGCTATTTGGGAGGCGGAGGCAGGAGAATTGCTTGAACCCTGGAGGCAGAGGTTGCAGTGAGCCGAGATCATGCCATTGCACTCCAGCTTGGGCAAGAAGAGGGAAACTCCGTCTCAAAAAAAAGAAAAAAAAAAAAAAAGGAAAGAAACAGGGTCTTGTTCTGTCCTTGAAGCTGGAGTGCCTGTGACACAATTATGGCTCACTGTAGCCTCAAATTCCCAGGCTCAAGTGATTCTCCCACCTCAGCCTCCCAAGTAGTTGGGACTACAGGTGCATGCCATTACATGTGACTAATTCTTAATTTTTTTTGTGGAGATGGGTGTTACTAAGTTGTCCAGCTGTTCTTGGACTCCTGGACTCAATCAACTGCCCACCTTGGCCTATGAAAGTGCTGGGATTTCAGGCGTGAGCTACCGCGCCCAGCCCCCTTGCCTGATTTCCAAGTTTGCTTTCATTGTAATTGACTATAACCGGGGAGTCCAGCAGCTTTGCTGAACACTATGAGTTTTGCTAAGTTGTTGAGCCTGAGGGTGGTCTTGGGGACTTCCCGATTGCAGTCCCCCTCTCTGCTCTGACCAAGCTCAATTCCTTGGCCATATCACCCAGTCCCGGGGCTTCGATTAATTACGGAATATATGTGCCACGGAATTGCAAATGGACGTGTCAGCCGAGGTCTCTCCCCTCAGATCCCGATGGGTGCATTTCTGTGCCCACGGGCAGCCTCCGCTGGACGTGGGATGCGCCGCAGCAGAGCCCGTGTCTTCCCCCGCCGCCTGCTCCCCTCCCTCCTCCCCTTCCCAGTTGCCCAATCCTGACAGTTGCTTCCGCCGAAACCTTGGAGTCACCCTTGACTCATCCCTTTCTCTCACACCCACATCCAGTCTGTCAGCAAATCCTCCCGGTCTCGCCTTCAAAATACCTCCGTGACCACCACCCTGGTCCAGCCACCTTCCCCTCCCCTGGACCCCGGCCAGCGCCGCCTCTCTGGCTTCCCGGCTTCTGCTCTCTCAACAGTTGGTCCCCATCTGGCCGCCAGAGGGCGCCAGTGAAGCCTAAGCCCGCTCGGGCTCCTCCTCCGCTCCGATCCCTGCTGCGCTGCCGCGTCACTTGGTCACAGCTCAAGTCCTCGCTGGGCCCACGAGGCCCTGCATATTTTGGCCCCTGTTGCCCCCGAACTCGACCTCAACTCCACTCCTCTCCCCACTTGCTCACTTGGCTCCGACCACACCGATCTCCTTCTTGCACCTCAGATACACCCACCTCAGGACCTTTGCACCTGCTTTTCCCTCTTGCCTGAAATGCTCTTCCTCTGGAAACCTCTGTGGCTCCTACCATCGCCTCCTGGGTTTGTACTCACTGGGCGCCCCCTTGACCTCCTTTTATAATTGCAGCCCCACACTCACCCCTAACTCTATCCCCAGCCCTCTGCCCCAATGTAAATTTATCCCACCAGCCATTTTGTATATTATATTGTATTATATTATTATATATTGTATATTAAATATATTATATAAATATTAAATATACAAATATTAAATATATTTAAAGTATATTGTAATACTATTATTATATGTAATATAATATATAGATATAGATATTTTTTGAGACAGAGATTCACTCTTGTTGCCCAGGCTGGAGTGCAATGGGCACGATCTCAGCTCACGGCAACTTCCACCTCCTGGGTTCAAGTGATTCTCCTGCCTCAGCCTCCCGAGTAGCTGGGATTGCAGGCGTGCGCCACCACGCCCAGCTAATTTTGTATTTTTAGTAGAGACAGGGTTTCTCCATGTTGGTCAGGCTGGTCTCGAACTCCCGACCTCAGGTGATTTGCCCACCTCAGCCTCCCAAAGTGCTGGCATTACAAACGTGAGCCACTGCGCCCGGCCGTAATTTTTTTTTTTTTTTTTTGAGATGAAGTCTCAGTCTGTCTCCCAGACTGGAGTGCAGTGGTGCCATCTCAGCTCACTGGAACCTCCGCCTCCTAGGCTCAAGCGATTCTCCTGCCTTAGCCTCCTGAGTAGCTGGGATTACAGGTGCCCACCAGATCTGACTTATTTTTGTATTTTTAGTAGAGACAGGATTTCACCATGTTGGCCAGGCTGGTATTGAACTCCTGGCCTCAAGTGGTCTGCCTGCCTCTGCCTCCCAAAGTGCTCGGATTACAGGTGTGAGCCACTGTGTCAGCACCGGCTTTTTTTTTTTTTTTTTTTGAGACTGAGCCTTGCTCTGTTGCCTAGACTGGAGTGCAGTAACGTGATCTCAGCTTAGTGCAGCCTTGACCTCCTGGGCTCAAGTGATTCTCCCACCTCAGCATTCCAAGTAGCTGGGACTACAAGGGTGTGCCACCACGCCTGACTGATTTCTAAAATTTCTTGTAGTGACGTGGTCTCACTATGTTGCGCAAGTTGGTCTCAAACTCCCGGCTCAAAGTGATCCTCCTGCCTCAGCCTCCCAAAGTGCTGGGACCACAGGTGTGAGCCATCACTCCCTGCCAAAGGGCAGGCATTTCTGTGTGTATATTGACCACTGCACTAGAGCAGAGCCAGGCACATAGTAGGTGCTTAACAAACAGGTGCTGAATGAATCAATGTGTTATGCTCCGTCTCCCTGTCACCCCACACACCCGTGCAGCCCCTCCCAACTGACGCACACCCCTCCTCCCAACCTTGGCCTTGGAGCTGAAGAAGGCCTTGGTGAAAATCTGGATGGGAAGATGGGAGCTCATGAGGCGAGGGCTGTACTGGTCCGGGAGGCTGAAGGCACCCACGATGGTCTCACACCAGGGTGCCCGTTCCCAGATGGGCACGGAGCGGATCCAGGACGGATCTCCGTCTTTCAGGATTAAGCAGATGATCTCGATCATCCAGGTCGTGCCTGTTGGGAGAAATCAAGCAGATTATTTGGGTGCGGGAGGGCTGAAGAGGGAGGATATCATCAGAATAATCACAACAGCATTTATTGAGCAATTTGCCTTTTTTTTTTTTTTTTTTTTCAGGCAGAGTCTTACTCTGTCGTCCAGGCTGGAGTGCAGTAGTGTGATCTTGGCTCACTGCAACCTCCGTCTCCCAGGCTCAAGCGATTCTCCTGCCTCAGCCTCTCGAGTAGCTGGGATTACAAGCACCCACCACCACACCTGGCTAATTTTGTATTTTTAGTAGAGACGAGGGCTCCCCATGTTGGCCAGGCTGGTCTCGAACTCCTGACCTCACGTGATCTGCCCCACCCCCACCCCCCCGCCGCCCCCGACCTCCCAAAGTACTGGGATTACAGGTGTGAGACACTGCACCCGGCCTGACAGCATTTATTGAGCAATTTACCACGTATTTTATCACACTGATTCCTTACAGCTGGCGGAGAAGGCAGGGTTGCTTAACCTCATTTTCAGAGCTGGAAACTGAGCCTCACAGAAACCATGTCGCTCGTCCAAGGGGACAGTGCTAGGAAAGAGGTGCAGGGTAGAGACTGGCGAGCTGTCCACCCAACCCCATTTCAGTTTTCTGCTGGGAATATGCCGTGATGACCTTTTCTCTTCTCCCCTGCTGCTACGTGTGGGGCCAAGAGACTGGGTCTGGCCAAGGAAGCGTAGGTGGTGGTGATGTGATGTGTGGCTATTTCCAGGCCTGGCCCATAAACGCACACCATGTGACTCCCCACTCTCTCTGCTCCTGGATACAGAGACTCCAGAGGAGAATCTGGGACTCCCGGGGATGGCAGAGCCATAAGACGGAAGGAATCAAATGTCTGGGAAAGCATGGATTTCCCCGCCGCTTCCTTCCACCCTTCCTACACCAACTCGAGTTTATAGGAACAAGAAACAAACTTGGGTTCAGCCACTGAAATTCTGAGGCTGATCTATTAGTACAGCCAGAATTGCTTTACTTATTTATTTATTTTGGGATCAAATCTTGCTCTGTCGCCCAGGCTGGAGTGCAGTGGTGTGATCACAGCTCACTGCAGCCTTGAAATCCCAGGCTTAAGAGCCTTCCGAGTAGCTGAGACCACAGGTGCACGCAACCACACCTGGCTAATTTATTATTTTTATTTTTAGTAGACATAGGGTTCCACTGTGTTGCCCAGGCTGGTCTTGAACTCTTGGGCTCAAGCAATCCTCCTGCCTCAGCCTCCCAAGGTGCTGGGATCACAGGCGCCATGTCCAGCAGGCACTGCTTTACTACATGGAGGAAGCTGGAATTGAACCCAGGTGTCTGGACATAAAAAATCTGTTCTTTTTACTTTTCACTGCCCACTTTTGAGGGTCACCTCTTTTTTTTTTTTTTTTTTGAGACGGAGTTTCTTGCTTGTTGCCCAAGCTGGAGTGCAATGGCACAATCTCGGCTCACTACAACCTCCGCCTCCCGGTTTCAAGCGTTTCTCCTGCCTCAGCCTCTCCTGCCTCAGCCTCCCCAGCAGCTGGGATTACAGGCGTTCACCACCACGCCTGGCTAATTTTTGGTATTTTTAGTAGAGACCACATTTCCCCCTATTAGCCAGGCTGGTCTTGAACTCCTGACCTCTGATGATCTGCCCGCCTTGGCCTCCCAAAGTGTTGGGATTACAGGCGTGAGCCACTGCACCCAGTCGAGGTTCACCTCTTTATTTCTGTGGGGAGTCACAGAATGTTACCTAGTGGAAGGGGACCTCATCAAGGAGCCAGTTCACAGTTTTGAATTTCAGGAGACCACAGGCTGTTCAGAAGAGAAACAATTACGTTCACAATTACCTTCTGTTAGTATTCATTGCATTTAATTCTTTTTGAGACAGGATTCCTTTTGAGACAGGAGTCCGCTCTATGACTTGGGCTGCAGTACACTGCTGCAATCACAGCTTACTTCAGCTTCAGCCTCCAACTCCCAGGCTCCAGTGATCCTCCCACGTCAGCCTCTGGAGTAGCTAGACCACATGCACCCAGCTTTTTTTTTGTTTTGTTTTGTTTTGTTTCTTGAGATGGAGTCTCACTTTGTTGCCCAGGCTGGAGTTCAGTGGTTCTATCTTGGCTCACTGCAATCTTGGCCTCCTGGGTTCAAGCAATTCTCCTGCCTCAGCCTCCCAAGTAGCTGGGACTAGAAGTGTGCCACCATGCCTGGCTAATTTTCGTATTTTTAGTAGAGATGGGGTTTTGCCATGTTAGCCTGTTTGGGCTCAAACTCCTGACCTTAGGTGATCCACCCGCCTTGGCCTTCCAAAGTGCTGGGATGACAGGCATAAGCCACCACACCCGGCCTGTGCCCAGCTAATTTTTTAAAATTTTTGTAGAGATGGGGTCTCACTGCATTGCCCAGGCTGGTCTGGAGCTCCTGGCCTCTAGCCATCCTCCTGCCTTGGCCTCCCAAAGTGCTGGGATTACAGGCATAAGCCACCACATCCAATCCATTCACTGGCTTTCATTCCAACAACCAACCTGTACCAGTTATCAGTTTACAGGCTGGTGGCTCCAACTTCAGGCCTCTCTCCCGGTTTGTGATATTGGAACTGGACCCTGTAAACATTTCTCCTCTGCCAGCTAGCTCAGTGTTAAGCCTTGTCAGCAGAGGGCGCTGGAGGAACACTGAATGAGGATGGGGCTCTTCCTGATTCTTACGGGCTTCTCTTCCTCATTCTCACGGGCCCCTCAGCGGGATGCTGTGACGGACAGGGACCAGCCCTGCACTGGACACCCAGTGACGTTTACCCCTCCCCCTAGCAAATTTCAGTGGCTTGTTGCACCTCAATGAATTTCTCAGTCATCCAGTGGGCCATGGCCATACCTCTGCAGTGAAACTCTAATCTTGGGTGGGGAGCAGGTTGGGCAGGCAAATCCTTCTACCCAATTTCTGTCTTCCTCGGGAGTTTGGCTTTAGCCCTAGAGGAAGTGGCTGCTCCCTAGTTTAGTTATTCCTATGTGTGGTGTTTTTGGTTTGTTTGTTTGTTTGTTTGTTTGAGATGGAGTCTTGCTCTGTTCCCAGGCTGGAGTGCAATGGTGCGATCTCAGCTCACTGCAACCTCCACCTCCTGGGTTCGAGCAATTCTCCTGCCTCAGCCTCTCAAGTAGCTGGGATTACAGGTGCGTGCTACCACGCCCTGCTAATTTTTGTATTTTTAGTAGAGACGGGGTTTCACCATGTTGGTAAGGATGACCTCGATCTCTTGACCTTGTGATCTGCCTGCCTCAGCCTCCCAAAGTGCTGGGTTTACAGGCATGAGCCACCGTGCCTGGCCTTTTGTTTGTTTTTTGTTTGTTTGTTTGTTTGTTTGAGACAGTCTGGCTGTGTTGACCAGGCTGGAATGCAGTGGTACAATCTCGGCTCACTGCAACCTCCGTCTCCTGGGTTCCAGCGATTCTCATGCCTCAGCTTCCCGAGTAGCTGGGACTACAGGTGTGCACCACCAGGCCCAGCTAATTTTTGTATTTTTAGTAAAGATAGGGTTTTACCATGTTGGCCAGGCCGGTCTTGAACTCCTGACCTCAGGTGATCCGCCTGCCTTGGCCTACCAGAGTGCTGGGATTACAGGCATGAGCCACCACACTCGGTCGAATTTCCTTCCTTTTTAAGGCTGAATAATATTCCATTGTATGAGTATAGCATAATTTGTTTATCCATTCATTAATCAACGGACATTTGGATCGTTTCAGCTTTTGGTGATTGCAAATAATGTGGTTATGAACATTGGTGTACAAATATCTGTTACAGTCCCCCCGCCTAAAGTGTAGCTCTTTTGGGCATATTCCCAGAAGTGGAATTCCTGAGTTTATATGGTAATTCTAGGTTTAATTGTTTGAGGAACTGCTAAACTGTACCATTCTACATGCTCACCAACAGTGCACAAGAGTTCCATTTTCTCAACATCCTTCCCACACTTGGTATTTTCTTCTATTCTGTTTTTTTTTTCTTTTATTTTTTTCTCTTTTTTTGATATGGAGTTTCACTGTTGTTGCCCAGGCTGGAGTGCAATGGCGTGATCTCGGCTCACTGCAACCTCCACCTCCAGGGTTCAAGTGATTCTCCTGCCTCTTTCTCCATGTTAGTCAGGCTGGTCTGGAACTCCTGACCTCAGGTGATCCACTTGCCTCGGCCTCCCAAAGTGCTGGGATTACAGGCATGAGCCACTGCGCCTGGACTATTCTGGATTTTTTTCTTAAAAAAATTTTTTTTTTTTTTAATAGAGACAGGATCTCACTATGTTGCCCAGGCTGATCTTGAAATCCTGGGCTCAAGCGATCCTCCCACTTCGGCCTCCCAGAGTGTTGGGATAATAGGTACGAACCACTGCACCTGGCCACATGTTATTTTCTAAGTAATAGCCACCTAATGTGTGCAAATAATTCTCTCTCTCTCTCCCTCTCTCTCTCTTTGAGACAGAGTCTCACTCTGTCGCTCAGGCTGGAGTTCAGTAGCACAATCTCAGCTCACTGCAAGCTCCGCCTCCCGGGTTCAAGTGATTATTGTCCCTTAAGCTCCTAAGTAGCTGGGATTCCAGGTACATGCCACCATGCCCGGCTCAAGTTGTTTTTTTTTTTTTCTGAGTCAGGGTCTCACTGTCTTCCCCAAGCTGGAGTGTTATGGCATAATCATGGCTCACTGCAGCCTCAACCTTCTAGGCTCAGGTGATTCTCCCACCTCAGCCTCCCAAGTAGCTGGGACTACAGGCATGCACCACCACACCTGGCTAATTTTATTTTTATTTTTTTATAGAGATAGGATTTTGCCATGTTGCCCAGGCTGGTCTTGAACTCCTGGGCTTAAGCTATCCACTTGCCTTGGCCTCCCAAAGTGCTGGGATTACAGGCATGAGCCACTGTGCCCGACTGCAAATAATTCTTTTTTCATTTTATTTTGAGACAGGGTCTCGCCCTGTTGCCCAGGCTGGAGTGCATTGGTGCGATCTTGGCTCACTGC